GGGCCACCATGCGCCCATTTCCCACAACACCTGCACGTTCAAAACCTGCGCTCTGCATCCACACACGGACTGTAAACCGCTTACTGTGATGTGTGGGCGTTGATTTGAAACAAAACGTCTTGTCACGTGAGCTGAACGAAAAAAATGAACTATGCAGGCTTAAGGCCGCTCCCTCGTCTTTCCAATATAGCGGACTATGGCAAAAGTTCATGTGTTGGCTAGCCGCTCCATCTAAGATCTATAGAAGGAACTACGGCTGCACGGCGGTTGGATCAAATATCATGCTTTTGCGCCACTTGCGCTGTCTTCAATGCCCCGCTTAAAAATCAAGAAACACGTCAACATGATGGTTTTGGAGCGGTGAAGACTTTCTGCAGCTTGCAACGCCTGGACGACATGGTGTGAGATTCAAAGATCTTCCAGCCAATGGATTGCTTGTACCTGTAGCCCTGAACACTACCTTTTTTCAGGTGCGCCCCAAAATATCATCCGTTGTAAAAAAAAACGTGCTCAGGTCCTGGAGGGACACTTGTCAAAAAAGGTCCACAACTATGAGAAAAAACATGGACGTATTTGACAATGAGAGCTTGCATTGCCTGCTAGATGTTTGATTGTGTTGCCCAATGCCCCATGTCATGCTGCAAAAAAACAGCCATCAGAGGTAGGGAGCGCAAGCAATCAAAACCGGATGGCTGCACAGCCACGACAACCCTAATAACCAAAACTGCCTTCGCCTGGATGGACATTTGGAGGGCCCTGGGTTCTTCTTAGCAAGCCCTTCCCTGTTGTACAAACTGAACCAAGCCTGGAATCATGGACTTGCTGGGCCAAGGTTTCTTTGGAGCAGTTAACTTGGTGACAACTTGCTTTGGTGGCCAAAAACCAAACGCCAAACCCTTAAAAAAAACAGCGCCTTCACTAAAACGACGCCATCACTCAAAAGCAGACTCCGCGCCAAAACCGCACCCCAAAAAACGACACCAAAAAAAGCCAAAACGACGCCAAACGACGCCGAATTGGTGTCACATTGGGCCTCATGTGTTGTCAGATATTGACGGTGTGATACGGTGTGGGAGGTAAGTTGTCATCACTTTTTGGTCGGGTGCGTTGATGTATCCTTTAATGTATCCTGTATTCTCTTGTCTAGTCAATTTTGGCAATCAACATTTGGTGGATGAGATGATTTTCTGTTTCAACTTCAAAGAAGCTTGCCAAGGGAATGTACGCTGTAGTTTCTAATTAGGCCATGACAGAACTTCAAAGCCGTATGGGGAGTTGTGCGTCCCTTGATGAAGGTTTGTCACAATATTGAGATGCCCACACATGGTCAGGAGATTTGAAGCCCTGTTGAAAGTCCGCTGTTGGGAAAGAACACTTTGCACTTCCAGTTAAGACTAATCCTTTAGTGCTTTAGATGCAGGGTTTGAGGCTGTTTCTACCTTGAAAGTAGCTGGGAGGTCTCTTCTTCCCTTTGAAATGGCTTTTGGCGAGATGCACCCAGGTTTTTGAGTGAATCCCAAAAACTTACTCCACGTGAAAAAATAAACGTCTCTACAGGTATTGCTCGTCTTTACACCCAAAGCCACGGTGCTCGGGAGCTTGCCAACATCTGAAAACAGTATGCAGCAAATGGATCGAAGCATAGAAAACGCACATATTATATAGCGTGCCCACATGAGAGAACACACTTTGAGCAAACACATCTGACACCGCACATAAGTGCATACATATGCGAGCACACAAGGAAAACATCTAACTACAGCGCGCACATGAAAGCGCACAGGTGAGAGCACGTGTGAGTATGCAAGCATGACAGCACACGTATGAGGAACACACCTGCCAGCATGCCCGTCCCACACACTTAGAAGAAAGCTCGCGAGAGCACAGTTCGGTGGTTATCATGCGTTAGCACTTTACACACGTGCATGCATCAAACGACCTGTCAAAATTACCGTGAAGTGGCCCTGAGCAAACGGAAAGGTATAGTCAGAAACAAAATGGCTTAAGTCACAAAGCGAGAAATGCAGGCATTAAGTTTGCCAAGGAGTGCTCAGCGCCCCTGCAGAATTTACATTGTCCCTTTGGAGCCGGGGTCTGTCCTGCCCGTTGCATGACACCTAATCGGGCTCACAATGCCCCACCATGCACCGCTGTCACCGTAAAGAAGATCGGGTGCAAAGAGTCTCGCGGGTGCCGGGTGCGCATATCCCGCTGATGCACCTTCTCGGTCGATGACAGGTGCCGACAAACTCCGCCAAGCTGAAGGAGTCGATAGACCAATGCCCATTTCACACTCGTACATCACTTCCCAGGCAAGACTAATGGGACTGTCATATGCCGACCCATTGACCCCCCAAACCACCCTAATGTAGGCATATATGGCATACATGGAGTGTCTGGGCTTTGTCGTGTGCACTTTTCGATTGCGCAGAAAATGCTGCACAGAGATGGGAGCACCCACAGGAAGGCAAGGGACAAAGTGTGCAGATCGAAGTCCAGTGCTGATCTGCCATGAAACCTGCAAATGCAATGCTCTGATCTCCTGCCACAAAGTGTGACCAAGTCCGAAAATGTGCAAAGCAACGAGAGCGACTGATTGATCTCGTAAAACAGGCACGAATGCCGAATGCACGGCTTACCAAAGTACTGCACCTGCCACACACAACGACCGTGAAGCCTGAAGAACGAAGATACAACGCGAACCCTGACCACGAAGCCTGCGACCACCCAATGCCCTTAGTTGCGAGCAATCTGTTTGGAGAAAAACCATATGGTCTCTCTCACTCTGTTAGCTGGCTTTGGTTAGACCCATCACTGGCTTTGCTTCGACCCGTCTGCTGATCCGCGTTCCACGGATTCCAGCAGCATTCTCTCAATGGGTCGGGCAAAAGAACATCCCCGAAACCTCGTTTTCCCGCCGCGGACGAACCGCGCGGTTTGGTCTGTGTTCGTTTCCGCAGATTGAATCCCAATCCGAGGTCTGGTGAAGTCGGTCTTTCATGGCCTTTCCAGGTACGGCACGGGCCATCAGATGGCATGGGCCGCCCCAAGTTCTTTGGTTTTCTTTAGAAGGACCCCCATCCGGCATCGAACCGCTGAAACCACTGTAGCTCATGGTCTGACTGCTGTGGTTACTATAATTTACTATATCACCCTCTCTGAAGAACAGCCTTTCACCCATCGCATGGCCGAAAAGAACATGCGAAACATCCGTTTTTCTGCCGAACTCTGCAGCCAACAACGTCTCCACCGGCAACGAAGCATCTGCAACCACTGCGCGCGCGCCAGAAGCCCCGATCCGTGATGGGATGCGATGTGTCGTGGAAGAAAAGAAGCATGCTATGCCATGGTATTACTACCCTGTCGGCATCTGACATGTCCTCCAACTGTTCACCCAACGATCACCCACTTCTGGGCCCCCAAGCAAAAGAAACGTTACAAAATAGGTATGCTATGGTACGCTCATGCAGATGTTTCTGATTTTTATGTATTTTTGATTGCGCCAATCCTACAAAGAGCGCTGGAATCAGCATGGCCATCCCAATTCCGCGGGCCGCTTCGTCCCTGCGGGGAACCCGCGTGTCCTTCTGCCGCCTGTCGCCGCGGGAAGCGGTTCATTGGGGTACCCCACAGGCACACTCCAGTCTGAACCTGAGACGAAGGGCGAGCTTGCCCCAAAATGTCGGCTCCTGACCGCCCCCCTCCTGAGGTTCGATGGCTGGGGTGGGTGCCATGGGGGTCGAATACCACATGGGCCAGGAGCCCTAGGGTAAATACCTTCCTCCAACTTCCACCTTCCGAAAGCCTCTCTTTTCTCTCAGCTTCTTGTTACTTGTAGTAATGGCCTCCAACCTACTAGCGATGGCCTTCAACCTGGTAGCGATGGCCTCTTGGTAGAGGGATGGCGACTTCTCCAAGGGGGAAGGTCCACGTAACCATGATTGTTGGAGGGAGGGCATGCCATGAACTTCGGACTTGGTACCTTTTTTGAGCCTCTGCCAAATCTGACGGTCGAGGCTTTATGTTTGAGGTCTTTTGAGAAGGGAAGATGAACCGCTCGAGGGTCCTTTGGCGGTAATGCCTTGAGAGTGCATCCATTTTCCAACACTCCATGGGACTGCCATATATTGAACCCTGAAACCACCCCAATGTATGCCTAATATGCCATACATGGAGTGTCTGTTATAGTTTACCCACTTGTTCTACCACTAAGAAAATGTAGGGTGCGGTTCACATTGAGCCCTCCTAGTCGATCGATACGCCCCTTGCCAATGGGCAGCTGAAGCCCTTCTTCAGATGTTCACAGACACAAAACATGCCCGGTCAACGACCTCATTTTGCGGGAGTTGGTCAGGGTCAGTTGGTCCAAACAAAAACACACAACTCAATGAGCTCAAGGACCAGCCTGGGATGGGACTTTTACGGATGGAGCTTGGACGTGATGGGGGTTCCGGGCATCCAACGAGAACAAAACAACTCAATCCTGCTGGCGACTCATCACCTCGACATGCCACTCATCCCCGCGCGTTTTGCAACTCGCTCTTCGGTGGTTTTTACCCCGCGGCAGGTCGGACGTCAGGCATGATATCTGAGACGGCCATGCGGAGGATGGGATCCTTTTTGCGAGCTGAGCCGTGCGGGCCACTACTATGCGGAGATTCATTTGAACATGTATTATCAAATGACGACCTTGTTCGCCTCTTTCAACATCTTTCTCAACATAAGCTACCAGGAGCATCCTGGGTGTCCAATGCTTTCGCGCAGGTAGGTAGTGGGCTGGGTAGTCCAGCAAGGACACCCGCATAGGATGGTCCTGCTACAAATCTTCCTCGTCACTTTGTCTGCCACCCCGTGGGGTGATATCTCTGGTCCTGTCATAGAACTCCTTGGGAAGAACCGTTGTTTGGTTCTCAGGACCCATCGCTGCAGCGGTGGTCCAAGCACGCGGGCATCTCTGCAGTCATTTAAGCGCACGAACGCCCATCTCGCCAGCAGCTCAGTCATTCATCTGCGGCACCTGAGGATGCAAACACCAGGGGAATAAGATAGAATAGGGGAGTTTGATTTCATCTCCGACACTGCCCAAACAAGACATCCAGTGAGTAGTGTTGGGCGATGACAGGCTCCGAGGGACACACATGACCCAAAACTAAGTGCACGGACAGGACAGAATTTGTGAAAACAAATGAACTCGGATTGCCAGGGTTTGTGTCTGAATCGGAAAATGAGTCCAGTCGTACCTCTTTTTTGTTCGGGTTTGATGTCCCATCTTCATCCAATTTCGTTCTGGTACGACTCGACCTACCTCGGGTCCAGGTGCAGGAAAAGGACGTTCCTCACCGACGAAGCAGCCTCAGGGGGCCCCGATGCACTAACCACTGAACCTCAGGAGGTAGGCCGGGAGTTTGAGGGCATATACAAAAAGAAGAGTCTGTCATGAGACAGCTAGCAGGTAGACTGTTTCTCTGTCACGGGTTTTTGGGGTTAGCTTCTGACGGTAGTTGGAAGGGGTAGGAGCGGTGATAGGTACCCCCAGTTCCAATCACTCGCCCCTAGGCCATCGCCCACCCAAATGCATTTTCTGACCTGGACCTCCTTCCCATTCTTGTCCCTTCGCAGCGATTCCTTCACCCCACCCTTCCTCCCGCCTGGTGACTCTTCGTCAGGGGCGGTTTGGATGGGGCTCAACTTCAATTGACCATTCGACAGTTCCTCGGTCTTGGCCGAGATACGGCCAGGGGTGGTTGAAACAAGGGGGTCAATATGGGTCTTTCATGGTCTTTCTGGGACGGCAGGTTCGAGGCCATCGCCGCGGCCTCACCGGTCCCATGCACTGGGCCAGACCCTTCTCATCCGGTATGAAAGCAAGACAGGAGTGGGGATCTGAAGGGATTTGGGTTGAATTGGAGCTGTGACAAAAAACAAACTAAATTACAAAACATGATCAGGAACTTTTAGGGATTCTATCAAAAGCACCGGCTCTTTGACAAGGGAAAGACCTAAAAAGTGAACGGCTGGCTGTTGACACCCACTCGACGTTCGCTCAGACCGAGCGTGCAAGGAGTGGCGGCGACGCACTGCAACAAACAGACAGCAACGACACAAAGCGGAGTCAAACTACTAGGAGCAAAGGGCATCGCTACTAGGAGCAAGAAACTACTAGTAGCTCCTGGCCTTTTAACTAGAAGCAAGAAGCTACTGGTAACAAAGGGCATCGCTACTAGTAACATATAAGTCCACGACCCATGCGGCTGCCATATTTGCCGATCAGTTGGGGTGGTTGACCTGGGGTCAAGGTATATACCTGGATCCTCCTTTAGGCTAAAAGCAGGGCCGGACCTCAATCCGGCAAAATTTTCCGCCGGATTCCGAAAAATACCAGAACCTGAAAAAACATCCGGATCCAAGATTTTGAGAAACAGATGATGAAAGGTTGGATCATACACAAGAAAACTGCCTGTGCGCCACGAGTAGTTTTTCTGGAACACACTCATTCCACAACCAATCACTGGAGTTTTCCCGTTCCCATTGCCCTCGCCCATCTTCCGACATGCCTAAGAGCAGAACCTTCACAACATATAAGCAAAGTTGTGCCCAAGCAAAGACGTCCAAAAACAAGCCAAGGAGTATGTGTCAAGGAACCCCTCTTTCTCTGCAACCGTGTCTCTAAAGCTCCTTTACAAACTCGGTTGCTCTCCAGGATTTTTCAGTTTGCCTCAGGACCTTGACCCCTTAATCAACATAGCAGAATACTCATCAAAACCTTCAAGATTCAAAGCCTTCAAAAGACTGAGTCCGGAAAACTACGCCGGAGTACGGGAAATTATGCCGGATTTACGGGAAATTGCGCCGGAGTTACGACGCGCACTTTTTTGGCAAATCTCTGCAAAACATTGAGATTCTGAACAACACACGTTCCACAGCCCAAAACTTGTCCGGCAGGCTCTGCAAACCTGCGTAGCTATAAAGGTTTTCCCAGCGCCCCGACATCCTGAAACAATGGGAAATCAATGGAATACATTATCGCCTTTGTTCTTTCAGCTCATTAGGTACACGTGCGTCGCACACGCAAACGGATCTGATTGAGCCAGTGTGAACCACTGCTGAATCCGGTGGAATGAGAAAACAGCGGAACAGGCAAACGAGCACAATTTCAAGCAAAATTATTCGTCAGTAGTGGATTTACCTTCAAAGAAATGCGGACCACAAAGAATGCAAAGCCTTGAGAATCCACATAAAGTGACTTGGAAAAACTGCCGGACCAAATCCAGAAAAACGCCGGAGTTGGAAGTCTGGCGCCGGACCCTGTAAAAGTGCCGGACTGAAGATCTAGGTATATGGCAGTCCCAATGGAAATGATCGCAGTCTGTCAGGACACCCTATGAACCACAAATTGAACACCGAAAGCTTTCCGATTGGAGAGTGGCTGGCTACGTTGCTATGACTTGCCGAAACGGTCGGTCAAGGCGCTGCTCCGGCGCTTGGCGGTTCTGATGGATGCATTGGCGGCGAAAACCACTTGACCAGGAAACCACGCGATTACATAATACCTCGATCTGTTATTCTTTTGTATGAACCAATTGCTTTCAGAGGTGGTTGTACTCCCAAGTGAGTGGATGCGATGTGAAAGAAACCTTCCAAGTGAGAAAGGGCCACAGGGAACTACTGGACCTTCTTAACATTGAAAGTGTCCACCATCGATTGCAGCTCACGGCAGCAGCTCTCTCGGAACCAGCTCCGTGACTGCTGCGAGTTGGTCCCCGTCCGGTGACTTCAAGCGAAGTCACAGGGATGTCAAAGGAGGCCAAGAACTGCAAGCGCCAGTCACCAACAATGGAGACCTGCATGCAAGTGAGTCTTTTCTCAGTCATCAACAAGTTCACAGATCGTCTAATGGATACAGAGAACTCCAAAGTAGCTGACAAAGGTCAAGGGTCTCATTTGCTGGAGCTACAGGCTGTCAAAAAAAGACACGGGCTCAAGTGCTCATGGTCCATGATGGTACATTGCAACCCCTTCAGGCTAAACCAATCCACTCCAAATGCAGAAACCAACCCTACACACAAATCCATGCATCCCAGTTCCATCCAATGGGGGGTACATCACCCTGTCTCAAATATAGATGCATGGGAACCCATTGGTGTTGGAGAGGTGGATGTTTTGGAGCTCAGAATCATGCCAGGTAGATATAGGACCGGAGAGACAAACGGCTCGTTTCAGTCCGGTTAGGTGTCTGGGTAGGCCAGCGAAGGCCGCATGGGCGACTGGGCGGCGCCGGAGTCGACGTCAATGGATGGATGTCCAAGAAACATCCATCGGCACGCATGGGCTAAGTCACTATTGCGCAAGTAGTCATCGTGTCCATCTGAGCATGCACACAGATCGACATCATCCCTGCGACTGACCATAGGACGTGATTTCCAAAAATCATATCTGGGAAACCGCTCTGTTGGCGAAGCGGTGAAGCGTCTGTTTTCCGAAGCGAAGCTACCTGTCCACCGAGGTCCCGTCTTCCCACTCTGAACATGACTGAGTTCCTCGGTGGAACACAAATCTCAGTCCAGGATCGCGCCAAATCTCAGGCGCAAGAGCGGCGCAAGAAGGCCTTGCGCTCGTAGAGGTTCCAAAAGAAAAAGCCGCGGATCTCCCAGTCCTGGTGTTCCGTCGAGTTTCGGATCTTCGACTGGGAGTGGCTGAAGAAACCTGTTTACTGACAGTCAGGACCCGACAAATGGTGTTCTTTTCCCTGGAAAATAGAGGTGAACCTCGTAAAACCTGTTTCATTTTGAGTGGGGATTCCGGGAAACCACCTCAAACAAGGTTAAAGTTAAAGGTGATGTACTGGAAAAATAGCACGAGATAAATGCTACGTAGCCATTGAACAACCCAAACAAGTGATCTTGGCATGTCATTACTGTTTCAATGCGCTTCCTCATCCGCATTTGGCTTTCATATACACTGTGCCGATGCCCCTACATCCCCTACCGGCTTGCGGCAGCAACGGCGCTATCTGACAGTTGTGACACTGCAATGGTAGCATCATTATTGATCTCATCCAAACAACCATACTGTATGCTGTTATTATTAACAATAGAATAACCATATCTTTTCCTTGACGACTAGCAGTTTCACTTCAAGACTCAGACTCTTACTAATTATATCATTATAGTAGATTGTTTTTTCGATTGTCGACTGTAGACATTGGGAATGATGAAAATGATGTTGTTTCCTCACGCAGGAACTGATCCGAACACAATTCTGCTTGAACCCATCAGCAGGTGAACGTCGTTCTCCCTCCAAGTCGACTTCATGAACATCGTCTCCTTGCAGTCCGTTTCGTACCCCTTCTCTTCATGCGAAAGAAAAAAGTGGCCCAGCCTTGCCCTGCTGGTGCACCAGCAGGAAAGGCCAACCCGAATCGTAGTCACATCGAATCCAATAGTTCTTGTCCTTTGGACGCCGTGGCAGCACAGACTCCCCCAGCACGGACCAACGTGGAGGTCGCCATGAATGGAAGGAGGAACAAGACCAGGACCTTTAGTCAGTCACCTCAAAGGGAGCCTCTCTTTGTGGCCAAACAGGCCGGCCAGGCATGACATGGCATGACCTGAAACCAGAAAATGTCTCAAGTTTGGTCAGGTTTTGAAGGTCCTGGAACGATCAAACAACAAGGAAAAACACACATTTTCCGACATGTTGCGCCACCCAGAAAGCACTGTTCAGGCGACCTGGCTCCCGCGGTAGACACGGCCCAGTCGTTGAGCCTCTCCCTGCGCCGCACTCGTCAGCGCCGAGGCTCCGGTTCCGTGGGATGGAACTTCCTCATGATGCGGTAGCCCCCGAGCCGCACATAGTCCTGCACAGCGACGGTAGCTGTTGACGTAAACGTCCCCCGAAAGAGCTGGCACTACTATTTCCTCTACAACCCGGTGGTTTTCAGGTTCCATGTTCACGTAAACAGGGTGGTCGTGTGCCAATTTGTAAGGTACTTTGGATGGTCCAGGTGGGTTTGCCTAGATGTCACATCCGAAATAACCCATAACATATCAACCGTCGCATGCGATTTTGGAACGAGTCGTATCGTCTGTGGATCAAATGAGTGAGTTTGACTAAACGGACAATGCCAAGACATGAGCCAACAATGAACCATAATCAAAAAGGAATGTTGGAATCGGAAAGCTTTGTTTAATTGACAAGAGGATCATGGGATGAGGGATTGGCAAAAGGGTTAAAGAGGGAAGAAAGGTGGTTAGTATTGTCGCAAAAGAGTCCCAAGGAAGGTGGATCAAACATGACCAAACTAATTGGGGGGGTTGTTTCTGAAAAAGTTGACATGATACAGTAATACATAACACGTGATTTGCAGGGAGGTCACACTCCCAGGCGGTGAAAAAAACAAAACACATTACATCTGGATTGACCGCAGTGGGTCAGACTTCCGCAGTCGTGGCACTCCACGGGGAGTGGATTCCGCACACAGTCAAGTCGTTGCCTGAGGATGAAGGTAGATGGTGCGGTTCTCAGGCTTTTGTCTCAACTTGGTCCTGAGCGTCTTGGTCGCTTGGGCGGTTGTTTTCGTGCTGACTGCTTGTGGGCTGCGTTGGGCGGAAACTGTAGAGTATCATATCTAGTGGAAACCCGTTTGTACTATCTATACATAAGGGGTGTTAGGGGGTACACACTAAAATGTTGGAAGGAAATCAAAACTTGATTTCAGGACCCCTCTTGGCTGCAACCTCTATTTTCTGCGAAGGTACACGTACTAGACTGGCAAATCAGTGGGCGCCCTACATGGTCTCTAGCAGTTACAGGGCCCATCTGTCTCAGACTGCAGCAGGTGAGGATTGGCGATTCGATTCTTCCGACAAGCTGTGTCTGGGTCAATTGAGTTAGAAAGACACAGCAGCTAAGAGCTATGTCGCAAGTCTGCGATGAAGAGAACAACCGGACCAACCGGACCATGAAGCCCTATCAAGCTCCGCAAAAAGAAACTGATTGGCACCGGCCTGTGCAACGTGCACTAAAGGAAAACCATCAGAAACAATGTGCAACGTGCACACGGACGGGAACCAACGTGCAGGGGAAGAGGCTCATGGGCAGTGGCTTTGATCTCCACCGAAATGCTGTGAGTGCAAGCCTTCTTGCCACTCTGTCGCAAGCGAGCCAATTCTTCCTGGCGAGGGAATGACATCGAACGAACACCTGTCGTTCTGCGACACTTGTCGCAGCTATCAACTTTCAAGAGTGCATCAAGACCATGCAACAATGAGGAGTGAGTTCCTCTACCCGTACTCTATGGATCCACACCTTCTCAGGTTCGGTATGTGGGCTCTCCAAGCCTACATCAATAGTCTCCAATCACCGTACCTCAGGTTCGGTATGTGGATCCCTAGGGTCTATAGAAAAACCGTGTGATGCTTGGGGTTCCGAGGCTACGTTTTGGACTGTTTCCTGGCGACCCAAAAAATGACGGCAGCTGCACGACGGCAGCGCGCGGCACATGACCGGGGTGTCATCAAGTTCTCTCTCCGTCCATTTTTGGTTCCATGGCGCAAAGCTGTGTTCAGTTAGTGGGCACTTGCCAGATCGAGCGCGCAAAGTGTCATTTCATGAAGCATGAACGTCTGGCTGCACTTCCGCCTCAACATACTGCATGATATTGATCATGATCATCATACTGCCTCAACATAGGGATTTCTGATTGATATTCATCGACCCCGGACCATGGCTCTGCCCTGTGCCACTGTGGTACAAGTCTCGGCCGCCCCAAGTCGCTCATTTTTTCGGGCCTCGGGTAGACTTGATGCCTTGCTGTGAGGAAGCTGCCATCTTCACCTGGATCCCTTGAAAAGCATGCGAACCGCGAGGGTGCTTGCACCTACCCACTCCACAGTCTCAAGATTTCCCAATGCACTCTGGGCATACGAATCAGAAGCATGGTAGCAGCCTATGACGCACTGGTCGAAAGACAGGAACGAAGCACATTGTACAGGTTTGAGCATCTACCATGCATGCTTCCCAACCTCGTTGTCTGCACGTTGGCCTCCCGTGCAATCTCGATCGCCATGTCCGCTACGGGATGACGCTCCGGCTTTGCCGACACTTTGTATACCCTCCCTCCAACAATCATGGAAGCTGACCAGGACCCCCTTGTAAAGGAAAATGATCTTCAAGGGGCCGAACAGTTCCACTTCCATGATTGTTTCAGGGAGTGTAAGAGTTGGCAGTGGGATGATACAATGATCGCCCTCCGGATTGTAATGCTCCGGAACCATCTCGGAGGTTGCGGAATGCCTGCATCAGCTGAGCCATTCCCTTGCTGACTTGCGTCCAACCCTTGGCCATGTTCTCCACATAGAGTAGTTGCCCTGGGAGCGCGTTTCCGAGCGCTTGCATAGATAGTCAGTTATCACTGCTACCATGAGTTTCGTCGAATCCGTTCCTCAAATATGAGTTATAAGGAAGGCTGATGGATGGTCTGATCCAGTGTTTCCTTTGCCATGGAGGCTGGGTGACTCGATCTGCCATCCAGCTGGTTCCAATCCTCGGTGCTGCGTGATCTGCTTGACTGCAGCACGACGTGGTGCGAAGCCACCTGAGTGGACATCCAACAAGTTCAACAGGCTCAAGAGGCAACTGAACGTGTCCCCGTCCAGAAAAGCAAAATGGGTCAACAAGACACTCTCTTTCTGAACGGCCCTGAAAACCCCTCGAAACGGTATCCCAAGTGGCCAATCTGTGGGAAGAAATGCAAAAACAGTCAAAATTGGAGACACCCATATCAAAACACAACTCAACATCTCTCGCCCAAAAGCTGCCCTGCGCAAAAAGACAACAACGCATCCCTGTGGATCTACATTACCTAACCTGAGAAGGTGAGCAGGGCTACACTTCCTTTCAAGGGTCCAGTCGTACTGAACCCGAGGTACGGTGGCAGTGTATTTTTTGGGTGTCAGGGCATGAAGAATATGGGTACATATGGGTGTCGCCTAAAAAGCTGCAATATGCATCCCGAACCCAGTTCTCTTTTGGTGGCAGGGCATCATTTCATAGGCCTTCTTCCTCCCTCCATGCGAAACAAACAAGCCGTTCCGAACCTCGCGACTGGGCCGCACGATCTCAGGCTCCTGACAGAGGTGGGTGATGGGGGGAAGATGAGGATCTCTCCCGGCTCCTGGCCTAGCTCCTCAACTGATATAGGGATCATACACCAGGACCTTTAAAAGTCCGGTGGTTTTTGGACACCTCTTAACCTCTAAGAGGCTATTTAGAGACACCTGGTAGTTAGGTCCTTAGTAGTTAGGGATTAATTTAGAAGTGTTGGATAGGCGGGATTCCGTATCTTCACCGCAAACGGCGCGTTCGGGGCGCGTTCCGAACGACCACTTGACCAATGGAGTCGGAATGTTCGCCATGGGGGTAGGGGCACCTTATCGGCCCAAGAAAAAGATGGATGCTTCTCTTTCAAAGTCTCCAGCAGTTTCTGGTAATAAGACTCTTGATATATACAGAACCTCTTCATTTAGGACCTTAGGATGGTATATATATATATATAGTACTCAAGAGTCTATACATTAAGTACCCCTGAAACTCGGAGGTTGTGATCTCCTTCCTGTGAAAGTGGCGCAACAAGATCTCAAAAACAAACAAGTGGGGATGGCTGTTGTACCCTGTTTAGCCATCTAAAACAAGAAGATCAAACACCCCAAGGTTATGGCCTATGATGGTCTGTGTTGTTCAATCCTTTTCCTTTTAGACTTTTAGTACCCTAGGAATCCAACCTCCATTCATTTAAAGGTGTTTACCGCACAATCTTTTACTGATTTCCTTCTCAGAAAAGGTGCCAAACGGAAGGCTTATACAGGGAGTAATGACATATAGACCCTCAAAAAGATCCTAAACATGCATTGGAAATTGGAAACCGTTCCTGATTCTATGTGTTTCTATTTGTACACAATTTACATTAATTTACTATCGATTTGGGGTAGCTCTCGGGTCGAGCGCGGGCAAAGAAGGAACCACCTCGAATCCAGCGAGCCACGCTTCGCGCGCCACGCCGAGGTCGCTTCCGGCTCGGTGAGGCGTTTGGAGCCGCTCTCGGTCTCTTCGTCCACCTCCACCTCGAAGGCGAACGCGTGTGGAACGTCCCATGGAAGGCAACCACGCGGAGTGGAAGAACCGAAAGAAGACAGTTTCGACGCAAGATGCAGGTCTTTGGCGCTTCCGGAAGAGACGGCGTGAAGCGCAGGAACCCGACCGGTCTGGAGACTTCACATTTAGAGGCGGCAACTGTTACATGTTGGTTCGATCCAAAATCCTAGTTGTGAGGGTCTAACACCATTCTAACATTCCTTTCCGAGCCTTTTGAGTACAAAGCCTTCAAGCAAATGCACTCACGACACATTCACATGTCAAACTCCGGTACCATCAATCGTCACAAAGGGTCTTGAAGACACTGCGGAGGCTTGGGCCCATCGAAGCCAACCAAAGAAGTTCAATCCAAGACCATCCCAATGACCAAACTCAAGACATATAAATTCTTGATGATTCCTTTATATTCCTTTACAGTCTCTGTAGACTTCTCATCCATCAAACAACTTGAAGTTACTGCTCATGGTCACATGGCCTGATCAACCAGCAGTTCTTGACCCAAGCTGCACCTGTCCGGTTCCCGTTTGTCCATCTTCGAACCAAGGGGCCGAGAAGGCGTCTTTGATGGCCTTCAGCAGCCGTGGTACCAACGGCTTGGGCTTCGGTGCCTCCGACGGCTTCTTTAAGACCTCAATCTCTGGGAGGCTGGGAGAGGACCCGACGTTGCAGGTGCTTCAACTGCACCGGTGCTTCAACAACAGGCAGCGATGTTGCTGAAAGCCTCTCTTAGTGAATCATCGTTGAAAGCCTCGAAGCCGTCCAAGGGCCTACAAGTCTTGAAGTAAAATCAAAACCTCAACTGGTCTTGGGGTCATGAGTCATGCCATAATTAGAGGTTCTGTTTGTGTGTAAAAACTGATGACTTCTATTCTGTATATCACGCGAAAGTCAAGTCATCCTACGGACATCGTGGATGTTCTTCCATAGGGTGCCAGGTGCATCCCCAAACATCTCCCAAGACCTCAGCAACCTATGAACAACATGGCCACCAAGATAAACAGCCATGATTCACCCACCATCGTTTTTTCAAACACCAAACGTCGCCATAACCAGCCTAGCTGTGTCACGCCAATACCGATACCTGCCAAACATGTGAGACGTGGTGCGGTCGACCGCGGTCGAGAGGAGACGTGGAGCGCCCAGTGCATCGCCCGAGCCGATCTGCCGTGCCAAAGCCTCGTGCAAGATCCACGAGGGGATCTCTTTACCCGTTGACTCCAAAGACATGGGGAGGTTGGCTTCATGGGTCAATGTCGGCGCCAGATTCCCCATGGATCGTCTTTGGTCATCCTCGCCCCACGCCCTTGGGCCCTCCGATCCCGTTCCGAGTTGTTCTGAAGACACACCGGTAAAGACCAGCCGGTTCCCCGGGCCCCAGTCGCGGGCCTCGCCCCTCCCTGGACGAGGGGCCCAATCAGGGGGCTCCAGAATGCCCGTGGTGTCCTTCACCGTGATGCCTCGGTGCCGGCAGGGCGCGGCGCAAAGACGTCCACAAGGACGTCGCCGTCGCCGTCAGGCTCACGCACCCCCCCCCCACCCGTTTCGGAGAAGGTGGGACTGGGGTTGGGTGAGTGTGGGGGTCTATAGCCACCTTCTGAGGAGATGGTTGGAGCATAGGGTTTAGGGTTGAGTCAATGCATGGTAACACAGACACACAAACACGACCGATGGGACTGCCATGCTTGTTGGGAGGGATCTGGGGTCTCAATTTTATAGGGTTTGAGGGGCCTGTGGGAAAGTATATCAACATCTAGACCATTCATGATCATGTACACCGATGCATACCTCAACCAACACATGGCATGGTTCACATGAAGGATGCGGCCAGTTCAAGGACTTTTCATGTCGTACCTTCTCAGAAGGTACGACTGGACCCTCCTGGCGCCTACATAAGAGTGTCGAATACATTACCGTACCTGAGAAGGTCCGATCTGGATCTCTATATAGGGATCATATCGACCTATTTATTGAGATGCCAGTACAAACACAGGCCTTGCAGGGTGTGAAGGTGAACCAGACCCTGGTTGTCGGACAGCTTTGTTCATATTTCTTTGGCAAATCTCGATCGCTAGACACCCATGTCGAACATCGAAGTGCTTTGCAAGCCCTAGGGCTCCAAGTACCTCCTCAGAAGGTGTCTGGACCCTCTAGACCCACCCTAAACACCTTCTCAGAAGGTACTTGGAGCCCTAGGGAAGGTTTTGTTGTGATCTTTTTAGGTCATCGGCTTGCAAGCTTGCTTGTTATACTCCAGTGCTATGTGGATTTGACAAAAGAACCATTGCGGCAAGAAGTTGGTCTCTCTTCAAGGACAACTCAAGGCCAAGAAGTGTTTCCTGCAGTGAAAGCCTTCTTCTCCAGCTCCTCCAGCTCAATTACCACTTCCTAGAAAAGCTGACAACCACGGGACTATCGGACTATAGCTCTTGTAGTTCGGTCCTGCCACATCTTTTTGCTCTCTGGGGCAATGTCATTTGTCAGTCTTGAAATATCCATGTGGCAACTCGCGCTAAGCTCCAGGATACTCTTCATAGAACTGCTTCAATCGAGACGTTTGAACCAGCCCATGCATTGCGAGGCCCATGTCAAACTGCTCAGTCAACGCTACGTCAACTGGGCTGCACCAAGCAACAAAGCGAATTGCCTTCCATCCCTCGTCGAATTCTATGCTGCCACCATCCGGGTGGTGCTTGAGAAGGTCGCGCGAGAGGTTCTTGAAATACACACTCCTATCAACCTGACAAGTGACATTTCAACCAGAACCTCCAATCTCCCGCCTTCAGAGTTGGACATCTTCAAACGCTTGTTCAGCAAGCGTTACTAGGTGACAGAGAGGCCATCTCCTTCACCTTACAAGATCTTACAAGGCCGTTCGCGTCTGGAGGTCTCTATTGCCAAGCGAATTCTCTTGTCAAATTCTATGCTGCCAACATCCGCGAAAAAGGTATACTTGTTGTGAACCTGCAGGTCACACGAACCAGCCAATGACCACGTGCAGCTGGGGAACAACTTCTCAGCATGTCGTTTCACGGCCGTAATATCATCAACTGGGCAGGGGACACTTGGGAGGAATGCATCAACAAACACTCCAACCATCTCCAAACCTTTCGTTTCATGTTTCTATCGCAGACTCCAGCAAGGTCAAGCTCGACACACGCCGTTCCTGGACCGCGTATTGTTCTTGTTTCAGGATCTGTAGGCCGCTGGAGGCATGGCTGGCTGCCCGAAGTCCGGAGCGTCCATGTGGCGCTTTCGGACACATGGCCACAGAACAAAACTGACGGTGTTGGAGGCCATCTGAGCTTTTTGGGGGATGTCCAATGGCCTGGAAACGGGGAAACACATGAGTTTTTAAGCACCAAGTTCACCTCTGTCCGCTTTAGACTTCGGTGACTCAGCCGAACTCGGGAATCGGCCGCGGTCTCGTACTCTCCAGCCTCCCGTGCAGCTGAGAGGCGGCCTTCAACCATGAGATCGAAGATAAAGGTCGTACCCCAGGCAAACTCGATCTAGGCAAAAATGCAGGGCAGTCGACCCAGTTTGGGCAGAGTGACATCACAGGTGGGGCCGGTGCCAAGCAAATGAGAACCATGCAATGCTGTGTATGTAATGATTATGATATATATATATAATATATAATGATTGATTATATATATATATTAACCCTAGACTAGCCAGCTTCTCATCTTCTTCCATCAACAAATTATCCTCCGACGTCGGGCGACCCCAAAACTATGCAGAACCAGACCCCCCCAGATCCAGGACCTGAGCCGTTCGTGGATCTAGTTCGTCTCTGTTTGTGTTCTTTGACGGGGGACCCAAAATCCTGGGATATCAAGTTCGGTCATGAACAGGTCAGGTCCTGGAACCCTGAAAAAAATCCTTCAGCTTGCTTCAGGGTTTTCAATGACCTCCCCCTCCCGAATGACGAACAAACCATCTGACACACAAGAAGAGGCTCAGCAACTTAGGTCCTATACCTCTAAAAGAAGCTGCGCCTCCCGCTCTGAATTCCACCTGTCCCTGGTAGTTCTTCTCAACCAACGCTGCGATGGCTTTTTCTATCGCCTCACAGTCCCTATAGGGCTCCAGTCGTACCTCCTCAGGTGTTTGGACCCTCCTGGCACCGCCCCCAGTCCCACCTTCGAAACGAAGGCACCCTCCTGAAGCCCTAGGGTTCGTGTCACCACTTCATCAATCCAAGGAGCCACTTCGCCAGGAGTCAATCGCACCACCATCCTCTCCTCAGTGCCGAGGGACACATGGGCTCGGTCCATGCGACAGGGAGCAGTGTCCGTGGGCAGTTTGGGCTCGGAGGATTGGGGGCATGGAGGGGAGAAGAAGAACACACGAAAGGAACAAAGAAAAAAGGCCGCCAGGAGTCACAAATTACGGGGTGGTGTGGCTCGTCCCCTTACGTGAGTGGAGTAGCTCCATGGATAGCACACCCGTCTTGTGACTCCTGGGGGATGCTGTTTCTGTGGTGTTTTGTTTTTCAGACCGTTGTTTGTTTCTTCTTTATCCAGCGGTCACAAGAGGCGGTGCGATCCATGTAGGTAGTCGGGGTGCCCGAACGTCACATCCACTGGATGGGATCAAAACACCACCCCTTAGTTTGTGACTCCTGGATTATGGCTTTGCATTAGCCCCAAAGACCTTCCCTACAAATACTTGGACCTCCAAGATCATCTGAAAAAGGAGGTAATAAGAGCAAGTCTGTAGGTACTGCAACAGTCACACTGATCATCATAACAACTTTCACCCATCAGAATCAGCCTCCTCAAAGCTTCTTCCAACCCGGCATGCTTTTCTTTTGCCTGGTGGAACGCTTCCATGCTTGTTGTTTCCGGTCCCTCACCAAGCGACATGGCCAGTCTTGAACTGCTCCTGCACCATAGGTGTCTTCTCTTCCATGTCCTCAGCCGCGAAGTTCCACCGCCCACCGCCCAGCTGGTCCTACCGCCCTCCGGTGGAAGCGACGGAAGAGACGGGTCTGGCACCGCGGTGCGGAGGAACGCGGTCGAAGCAAAAGACACCTACGCCAAAGCGACCTTCCAAAAGGTCCCAGGGGATGCCTATGGTTTGGTCCAGGGGGGCAGGGCTCTTGGCCAACTAGGCTGGGCCGGTAATGGATCGCTACACGAAACTACACTCTTTGATCAAGGGACAAGGACAACCCAGGAGCATTCCTGCAAAAACTTGCTGTAAGTTTCACAAGCTGCAGCCTAAACACAATCAATCTTATCAACAAAAATTGATCTGCATGGTTCTGCATAACGCCTGCCCCAATGTTCACAAAAACTCACCCGTCATGCCTTGTTTGGCAAGCAAATCATAAAGGCCTAGACTTACGGAAAACAGCACATCGTGTGTTTTTTTTCACTTGCAGAAAACAGCATAACTGCATAACGTTTTGTTTTTCACTGGCCAGGCCTGCTGTGTTGGTAGCACATTGATTCATCCAAATGCACGAAGTTGATAATGACTCTGCAATGATGGCTTTTATGGGCAGTGTCTATTGCTCGGGAAAACGCATGGAGGCTGTGTGATTATATAATCATTTCAAACATGTTCGGGTGCTGGAGAAATAGGCGTGCCCGTGGGCTCGTTCCTGATATCGCGGCTTGTCAGGATGCAGGTGAAATGCACCAACATCGCAGAAATAATATGTTGAGTCTGGTTTCATATCCACAAATTCCAGCACAATGCAGCAAGAGCAGGACCTAAATGCCCAGCATTGCCCAGCAGTTCCAACGGTCTCCAAACAAAAACCATACCGAACAACACGTCTGTTCGACGTCACCGTCGTCACCGTCGTCAGCTCGCCGGCCCGAGGCTCATATCCAAGCTCTGCGATGAAGACGGGAACCCCTCCTAAGACCGAACTTGAACGAGTCTGTCCAGGGAAGCCACCTTCAAAAAGCTGTTAATCATCTATTCCCTACCAAGGGGCCCACAAACCATGAAAAAAAAACCTGGTTGTCCCTAGCAACAAGCATGGTTTTTGTATGTGAAAACCTTTCTTTTTCATGGTTTTCAGTGGCATATACAATAACAAGTCAATCACATAGTATATAAGGGACTGTGGTTGTATACGCCAGAAACAAAAACATCACACTATAAGGGAAAGTAACTAAACATCACCCCTCAGTAACACAAGCCTTCTATGATCTTCTATGTGTTCATATTTTTTAAACACTATGCTATAAGTTTTTGAAATCAACGAAATGAAGCCAGTTGAGATATTGCAAATTCTGCTGGAGCTGTTGGTCGCGCAGTCCAAGTCTGATATCATATATATTGGACTGTTGGACAAACCTGCATTACATAGAAATTTGTACAAGTCCTCCGGTTTTTTTAAACACCACCGGAGGAGCCTTTTGGGGTGCCGCAGTGTTTCGTGAAACCCTCACCCCCCCAAGTCTGTCGCAAAGCACTACAATCCCTGGAACTAACATGGAAGTGAAAATTGCCTCTTGGAAGACAATTTTCCTCTACAAACAAGGGCTTTTCACTTTCACCTTAGTTCCAGGGAGAGTATGAAGAGCAGCACAACTCTCCTGATGTACACATTAAAGCCGAGATGCTGACGAAGTTACAACCTTAGTCTTGCAAAAACGGCACGAGCAAAGTCTGTCGCACATCCCTTTCAACTCTCTCACCATGGCTGACTTCGTGAGGAGGCGCATCACTAGCCAAGTGACCCATCTTTGGAAGGGGAACCTGTAAGAAGTCCGCTGTCCTCCAGCTGCTTTGTTTGAACAGCAGCTCTCAGAGGAAGCAGCGGATCGCACGTTCCGAAGACTTCTTTCGGACCGTCCAGAGCGTCTTCACGCGCGATGCACTGGTGCCAATCACCCTCTGGCTGAGACACCCATTAACTTGTCTCAAAGTGAGTGGACATATTGGTTCTATATCCTATAAAGTCTTCCAGGGAGTGGATGATGACTGTTCACCTGCAGGCCTTAGTTCGAATATAATGATGTTCGTGTGGATCCTGACGGCTCCACAGATACAGGGAGAAGCCCAAGTGGTTTAAGAGGGAGATTCAAGGAGCAGCGAAAACAACGCACCGTCAAACAGAAACAGCGTGCACCTCCAACACAGGTAGCTGAAGGAGCCGTTCGGCTATACTACAAGACCTTATACTGGGTTATAAACTAATACGGACTATCCCATAGATAGGTACCCTATGGTACCCTATACCCTATGGTTCTTACCCCAGGTGACGGGGTCCTTTTTCATGTCTCTTAACCTCTCTTGCTCCAAACAACCACGGTCAATCCGGGTGAATCCACTGGCCTAGTCGGCCCGCGATCCGTGCTGTTCTGAATGAACCGGTGGGGAGAGAAAAGGTCGGAGGAACCAAGGGCGGAGGATTTCAGCCTCCCCTCTCTTCGCTCTCTTGGGTGGCTTCACCCAGCAGCCGAGCAGCCCAAGTAATAGACCTGCGCCCGTTCGCTCATCTGATTCGGGCTGCTGCGGTCGTCAAACATGCTGTAGCGGGCCTCGTAATTTTTGAACCTCAGATCGGTGATGACCACAGGACCGACGTTCGGGGTCGAGGTCCAAGTCCTTAGGAAGTGAACAAAAAGCGAAGGTGATGGAAGTGATGGAATAGATCAACACCTATTCAACACTGTTAAAGCCAAGGTTGCCCCAAATTATTCGGAAACATGTTTTTTTTTCGTTGTCCTCCTTTGTCTTTGGTTCTTAGACACCTATAACCACCTATAGTGCATGACGCCCAATGTGAAGAATATAAAATATTCTTATTGCCCAAACGCTCATGGGCCCTCATATGCAGGGGTCGGACCCTCATATGGAGAGGTCGGACCCTCAAAACCCTACTATGGTTTTGAGGGACCCAGTCGGGCTGTGAACGGAGCGTCTGGGTGCCTGAAAAGAAAACACCAACGACGCCGTGCGTTTACCATCCAAACATCATGCCAACTGGGTCAGTGCGTGGATCCTCCATCTTTCCAGTCTGCATCCATTACAGGTCACCAGCCTGGGCTGGTCATTCCCTTGACAGCAAGACTACGACTCTACATGGATGTTCCATGGACCCAAGGCTCACAGCACCCATACCACGGAAAATGAAAAAACGCGCGACCCCCATCTGACCAAAACATCTACCAGCACCGAAACCAACAGGTCTCCAATGGCTGGAGGGTTGTTGGGAAAGGCCCTGTCACAGGTTTCAATTGGTGACCTGGCAGTGAGGTTTCAATGGAGGTAGTCGGGGTGCCCAGCTACTCCACTCACTTGGGGACTAAACACCACCCCTTTGTGACTCCTGGTCGATCCATCTGTTCACCTCTTTGCACATGTCAATCATCGATCAGCTGGACGTGAATGGAGGTCGACGTCACCGGCTGGTCGGCTGGACGCCGCTGGCGGGAGCGGTCTTTCAACGGGCAGAAGGGTGTAACGAGACCAGCGGCAGGCTGTTTAGGGTACGGCACCAGGGCCCCCTGCTTGGGGTGGTTCATAGACACCCAAACAAACCTCATCAAAGGGGCCATGATTGGATACCCCATACGCGGGGGGCCTGGTATAGAGATTCTCATCATAGCAGTGAGTCGAAAAAGGACATGTGTTCGCCCCTCGGTCTGACCTGAATGTTTTGGGACATGCAGCCATGTTCCATTCGGGTGACCACTGATGATCAGCCAGGAACCAAATCAAAAGGGACATAGCTTCGAAGTACTCAATCGAAAGCAAACAAAAACCACTAAGAGTTCAAGATCCCTGATAACTTCTTTTTCGATCTGCTCAACTCACCGAGTTCCGCGCTCTGTTTCATCGAGCGCTTTTGCGGCGTTCCTCCGCATCGATCGGCCGATCCCAGGCCAGGCACTTGGTGAAGAGCCGAACCCCGCCCAAGTTGTTGTAGAGATCCTGAGGAGAAGACCCCCTTCTTAACGAACCGACACATCGAATCCAATGGACGGGGGGGATCGGAAGGGGCTTGTGATTGGATGGAACAAATACAAACAAGCCCCTTTTGATATGGAACAAGCCCCTTACAATACAACAAATACAAAACAAATACTTGTGATATGGAACAAATACAAACAAGGGCCACAAGGTGTCCTTTCCACCGGGAGAGAGGAACCCTCCCCTCCAGCTTCGTGCGCCCCCGCCGTGGCGCGGCGGAGGAACCCTCCATGCTGCCGCGGTGGGGTTCGCCGCAGGTCGCCTGCTTCTTGCTACCTGGGACTTGTCCTGGACTCCAGTTGCTTGAAGTTTCATGGATCGCCGCAAGTCGCCCGTTTCGAGCTCCGTTTGGGGGTGCGGCGCACTTATGCGAGCCATGCGGTCGGCACAGGTCTGGCTCTGGAGATCCACAAGTGGTTGGTTTATCCCGGATGGGCTTCCTGAGCGGTCGGCCCATCTCCTCAAGTGACCGGTGCTATTCGACCCCCATGGCACCGACCCCCACCACCGAACCTCAGGAGGGGGCGGCCAGGAGCTGGTCGCGAGCTGGAGTCAACAAAGGTCCCCGTACGATCCATCCCCGTACCTGAGAAGGTACGACTGGATCCCTTTGAATAGAATGTCAATCATGTTCAACTTTATAAATATACATCATGATGCAGGGAATCACCAACATTATACATCATAATTCCCCTTTATTCAATCATGATAACCACTGGATAATAATCCCCTGCAACAATACACTGAAATACACTGGAGATATTCCATGAACATCTCCTGTTTGTAGAGGAAAAGTCTTCTGATGGAGCCCGTTGTCCACCTCCCTGATCACTGGAAGGGCCCTGATTGACTGCTTGAACCGCATTTGTCCCTTCGGAATCATGTAAACAACTACACCCCTGAAAAATGTCACATGCTCATTCACCAACTGAACATGAAACAGCTTCAGACTCGCCCATACTCATCACACCATATCACCCCTATTCAGGTGTCTTTCGGCAGACTGGAGCCATTGAGCCATAACACCTATTTGATCTATTGCGCTGTCAATCCTCAATTGGGGAGCCTTCTCTTCAAATACCCTATCTTACCCTGCTAGACCACCAAAAGCCATCCAACTAAGCTTTTCATGCTGCACCAGCCAGTAACCCCCCAAACAATCGTAGAGTAAACTTCAGCTTTTACCACTGGACCCTACAACAATTTAAGGTCTTTGTGCAGTGCGGGGTTCATCCTCCCAGCCAGGGGATTTGAGACAGTCAGTTCGCATCTCCATGCCCAGGCTCCACATCTATCTCTCGAATCTCCTTCACCGGCTCTCCCATTTCCTAAGAACATCGATCCGCATCAAAAGAGAAAACTGCACAAAGGACCTCGGACCGAGGTCAGCTCGGACCTCTCCTCCTCACATTGGTCGAACATCGCCCCAAAACAATCTTGCTCAGCAAGTATTTCAATCAGCACACGCGGTCAAGTGGCAAAAAAACTGCGGCCATTCTGTACTTGAAAGAGGTTGTTGGGACATTTGTTACTGAGCCCCTGAGGTTCCAGTTGCTTCAAGCGCAGTTACCCAACGCCACCCAGGGACTGGATGCTTCTGATACTTAAGCTTGATATAACCATCTGATGGTACACGTAGGAGCTCGCGGGGTCTGAACTGGCTACTGCTGACCTTTCTTCGCGCCAGGTTGGCGATCGAGCCACGTCTCGGCCATCCACCTCGATGGAGATCCATTGCCTCTGGAGACGGCGGACGGTCGTGGCGGACGGTCGCTCCGTTCGTAGTAAGGCCAGGAGCCCGCGTTCGTGGCGAACCTTGTTACTAATAGCATTGGGTCCATCTACAGAAATTCCAGAGGTTGAAGGAACCCGACTCTTCGACTCTCCCAGTTGGGTAGCCTAGTAGGGTCTCAGTTCAGGTCACTGAAACCTCTCTGGGTTGGTCACCATGATTCACCCCGAAGTTGGACAACACTGCCACTCACCCCCATGAGCAGCTCATTTCGGGCGATCACCCCGATTGAGGTGACTGGAAACTTCGTCCGGCTCGGCGATCCCCACATTTCCCACATTGCATTGACTCCCCTGGCACCACCCCATGTAGTTTTTTTGTGCCAGTCCCATTGAGTGTCTGGGTATAGCTTATTATATAGGATCTTATAGAGATACCTGCCACACTTCAAAACATCAAAAGCAGTAAGTGAATGGACTTGCTCCAAAAACCGCCTGCCTCCAAAGCACCGTTCCATGTGCCTTTAGGGATACCCACTATTCAGGATCTCGTCTCCAAGTTCGTCCGAGCACATCCAATTCGACGGAGAAGCCCATCGAAGCCTTCGTGCCAATCTAGCAAACAACCATAAATAAATAATAAACCCCATATAAAATATATAAACCCCCTATATTATCCATCCAATCCCTCCTCCCGTGCTTGCTGTTTTTCGCCGTTTCTGCAGGCCACGCTGCCGGCATTTCTGTGGTTTGGGCGCCGTCGACATGATCTTTGGTTTGGGATCGCTGCGGATGGCGCCAGCGCCCTTGGCGCCCAGCAGCAGAAGCAACTTGGTGGCCGTGTCATTCCACGGGTGTGTTGAATTCAACAGGAAGTAGGTGGGTTGGAAGCCATCACTGAAGGCGAAAAGGGATTCCTTTGGGACGGAGTTGTTTGGGGGACGGGAATGTTGGAGTCCAATGACCGGTGAAAGCGGTGAATGTCGTGACCCAGGAGGTGCTGATGCGCCTGATGTGGGGCCGACGATGGCCTAGGAGGTACCGATGACTGCCACATGAAAGAAATCACAGCCAAGACCTCTTGCAGTCGAAATTCACATGGTGCAAACATAAGAACACTTCATGTTTACATGTAAACTATGTAAAAGGCTGTAATATGTGTTGCTTGGGGGGTGATCCGGTTCCCCAGCTGGCTGCTCGTCCGTTGCCAGGCGAGGTCAAGTCTTCTTTCGTAATCATTCCTCTTGTCACTATAATCTAGCAGCACTTTCCAGCAGGTCTCCTCAGCTGTTTGCAGACTTCAAAGTCGCAGGAGGGGGACCTGTGGATTCGGCTCCTGGCCTTGAATTCTCTGCATTTGGAACGTCTTCGCCATCGTCTCACGGTCGACCTGTGTACCGCACCTGTTCGGACCTAGCGTGCCTCCCAAACGCCTGGGTGACTCCACGGACTCCGGGGACGGGGTCACTCACACACGCCGCCCAGGCGCGAGAGGAAAGTGCATCGAGCAAACAACGGAGCAGGCGCAGCAGGCGCTCACGGGCTACGGAGCGCGGAGGTCCTGCTTCGCCATTGAGCTGAAGACGGCAGAAACGGCAACGGCGAGTGGTCGTTTTTGGGGATGATGTTGCAATGAATGAATCCATGGAGACTTTTAACCCCCATGGGGTTGTATTTATGTGTGTGTATGTATGTTTTGTTGTTGTTCCGACTGTTTCTTTCGTTGCAAGACACCGGGCGACCCCTTCCAGGAGGTGGTTCACTGGTGCAAAATCCAAGCACTGCTGGGTCAAGAGATCGTTCACCCAGAAAGAAGATGTGAACAGCCATCGCTAAAGAATGTTTACTTCCTGTATGGGGGGAAGAGTCGAAGACGTTCGAAGACCGAAACCAAAACCGAGAACAAACTGAGAATCCGGTGCCCCTTCAGCAACACATCTAGGGCTTTGGGAACCGGGCCCTGTTCCCCCACAGATCGGTGGAGAAGGTCCGAAAAGGAAATGGCACCACCGCAATCCACCGCACGTTTTTCCGGCCCAATGATGACCCTCATATGGAGGGGTCGGACCCAAATCCGCCCTGGAGGGGTCAGGGGTCTCAAAACTCGTTTTGAGCACCAAGGGCTGTGAACGGAGCGTCTGGGAGGGTGTGATAAGACGAAAAGAACGCCGGATCGGACCAGGATCCGACCACGTTCGCCGGGCTGTGTCCTGTTGAGCGATGTAGCGACTCTTCCACCAGGTGGCGAGTCAGGTTTTGACTTCGGGAAGCAATGTCGGTGAAGTGTGGAACATTAACAACCACACTAGTATGTGCGCACCGATACCACATGAAGAAAAGCGCGCTGTGGTTCCGGGCTGACTTGGCCATCCGGGTTTTCCGAGTGCCCGGCAATACCTTGCGGAGATGCGTAGGGTGTGGGACTAAACTCCCTGAAATATTCATGGAAGTCGTATTCACCACCTGTTTGGTCCTTGGAAAAGGATGGAGTTCCTGGTCCTCCAAGAAGACTCGGGGCCATGCCATCCACTTTGGCCCATGGCATAAAGACTCAGGGCGTCCCTCCAAACCACTGAGTGGTCATCTGTGGGTGACAAAATGCGGGGTCGCAGGAGGGGAGGCTTTTCACTGAAGCTGATTTTCAGGCTGGGACTGTGCATGGAAATCGTCCGAATTCCACTTAGCATCCAAACAAACATCGCATGAAACATTGCAAATTTCTCTTCTAACTAACGGATTGGTGAATTCATTCCAATTTCCCAGAACATCGAGACCCACAAGTGTCGTTCCTCGTGAGCTACTCACAGATTCATTTGGATGGCCATTTTCCGATACACTGGTGCTGAACTCAGTCCACTTCCACCACGATATGATGCATATGAGTATCCCATCACCAGTGGACATCGATTTCTGGGGATGGATTCAAACATTTGCAACCGCACCACCTGAAAATAATGAAGAACGGCTTTATCAAGTAGCCCAGGAGGGGCTTCCGTAGGTCATTCAACTCACCAAAAGGCCCGTGGAAAATACAAGATCGGGCGTGGCATCGCCCGATCAACATCATGCCACCTGCATAATTGTCGGTCGGACATTGAACCCCAATGCCAGATCCAAGAACAGCTGGAGAGACTTCAGTAAACAAAATATAACACAACACAACACAAAAGAATACATGTAAACAGTAGCTGGAGAGACTTCATGTGCATCAAGTCCAAATCCTTTGTGCTCACGAAAGCCCCTAGCCGGCGCCGCCGGCGCACGTGAGCGAATGTCTTCCACGAGTCCATCGCCCCAGGCGGCGGCACTGCCTCGGTCGTTCTTCGCCGAACGACGCCGGGCTGCCGGGACCCCCGGGCTGCCGGCCGCCGTTCGGTCTCCGCGAATTGGTCTCCACCGCTGTACCCAGACTCCATGGGACTGCCAGGACGGACTGCCGAGAGTTCAGGCCAGGGGTGTTGCCAGGGGGGTCTGTCTGGGGCGGCAGTCCGTCCTGGCAGTCCCAGACAGGTCGTGTCTGGGCAAGCTGCACCAGTTCGGTTCTCGGGCGTCCCGAATGAACTTTGAGTTGGAGTTCCCAGGACCAGGTTTACATCCATGGAGGTAGTCGAGGTGTGCTGGTCCACGGCCACTCACTGGATGGGACGAGCCACACCACCCAACTCCATGTGACTCGTGGAATTTTGTATGGTTTTGCCAGTTGGTTATTGAACATATACCCGCGAGGTCCCCCCTCTGATGCATGTGCGAGTTCATTTTTTGCGCAAGTACTAGGAAGATGTTGTGCATGTGCACAAATCCTTGTTACTCTGGTCAGATTCTATTTTCTTGTGGCAGAGCAAGTACCAGGCCTCACTTGATTGAACAACACATGCACCAACCCACTTCGCCAGGTTTCTACGTGTAAAAACGCGCGGCGTCATTTGGTAATAAACTCAAACACATAACTCGTTTAGACTACTTAAATAGGAGGTCATGTCACAGTTTCTCGTTCAGACTACTTTAGTAGCAGATCACACTATCTCGTGCACACTAGTATAGTGTCGAATCAAGCAAAAGTATGTCGTTTATGTGGGGGCAAATACTGATGATAGACAAGCAAATAGAGCATGTCATAGACTACTTCAGCAAAGCCTAAGTAGAAGTGGTTGGTTGCTCATATAGATGTAACAAAGTCACTGTGCCTTTACTGGGTTGGGGCTCCTGGTACAGGTTCTATCCAAAGAGACATGCACAAACCTTAGTCATAATGGGTCAAATGTGGTCAAACAGCTATTGGCCATTGATAATACTGCAGCATAACTGCTTTATATGTATGCAAGTCATATTGGATCATTCAAACCTGAAAACATGTTGCAAGTGGAACTCATACACACTTACATCATCTCAGCACATCGATTCTCAAAAATATCCAAAACATCTTCCCCGCTGATCCTTGCCACATCTTGCCCCTACACACACTCCGCGACCCCAATCCCTAGCGATCCAAGTACCGTCTCCCAAGGTACTTGGACCCTCCTGGCACCTATAATGACAGTGTCTCCCTGCTCACCTTCTCCGGAAAGAACAGCGACGAGTGCCCATGTTCTGCGCCGAAGAGCTGTTGGTGTCGTTGAGGGAACGGAGTTGCACCTCCCAACGAAGGAAGACACAGTCGTAGCTGGCGCCCGGGTCCTGGAAGATCCATCGCATGCGTGATGGTTGGTTGGCGTTTTAGAACCCGGTGACCCCGGTGTTCAGTGGATGGGAATATGCCCTACAGGGCTCCAACCATATTCTCAGGTTCGGTGGTTAGACCCCCCAAACCCACCCTAACCACCGAAGGTTAAGTGGATGGAAATATGATCACTAACAAAGCAAAATGACTTTGAAGGGCGGTTCACTTCCAGGTCTCCGAACTGGTATATTGCCTGCTGGTCTGCTACTAGGACCTAAGCCGTTCGTGACCTCTTCCTGCAGTCTGACCTGTCTTTTACAGGCCTGTAGATGTAGAAGTGACCAAAAATCCTGGGATATGAAGTTCGGTCACGAGCTTTCACAACTTGTTGCCAACTTCAGCTGCTAGGTCTGCGGGTCCACCACCGACTAATAGGCTCACGATCGCTCACTTGTACCAAACAAGGGAACGAGCCCCCAAATAAAAAAAATAATGGATCGATCCAATCCCTCATTCCCTACTATAAGCACAAGTCAGTAGGTCGAACATGATACGGGACATGAACATACCGGTACGACAGGTACGACAGGTACGACATGGTACGACTGAGACTCAGGGGGACCGACGTCTAGCGACTCCAGGTCGACTGAGACTCCAGGCTTTCCAGGCAAAGCTCAGCTTCCCCAAAATTGCAGCTCATCTTATAACCCAGACACGACTAATGGGACTGCCATATATGTCGATCAATTGGTGTGGTTTTGGGGGTCAATGTAAACATATATATGGCATACATGGAGTGTCTGGGTAATGATCAGCCGGATGTTTTAAGGAACAAAAGCAACAAGCCTAAAGCCTATGTTTTTCATTGTTTTTCTTTCCTGGGGCTGGATCAATCAAAAGCAATACAGCAACACCATGTCCAATTCCATCCCGGTGCATTGGTGATGGTGCATCACAAGAACCTTCACAGCTCACATCCCCTTTTCGCCACAAGACGCCAACTGCAGTCCTTTTCAACACAGTCCCCGAAGAGGTGACTGCAGTGTTGAACAAAAAACCGTGGATTGAGAGTAGATGGCACTGGCACCCCCAGGGCTGTCTTGTATATAGGGGTCCAAATCAACCACCTTTGGGGGTGCCACGGTGCCATACTCCCATCGAGTCTCAAGTTAACTATAGAGACAGCAACTTCCGGAGGTTGGCCAAGCCCTCCAGAGCTGGGGCTCCCCAACCCAGGAGAACTCATAGGAAAAGGCCGTGTCGGAGTTCTTCCGGAGGTTGGCCTGGGGCGCCCCCAGTATCGGCCGTGATCGACTTGAGTACCTGGAGTTATTGGGGGTCTTTCATCTCGACAGGTCCAGGATCTCATGTTCCTGCTGGACCTTGGAAAATATAGAAAAATGGTTCACTGAAGGACCAGGATTCACTGGACTAGGAACCGGGTCCAAGAAAGCCCACTGATATATACTCTTGCTGCGTACTCGATCGCAACAAGCTCCACGGGGCAGGACTTTTCCAGAACATCTCCCTGCATGCACTGGATTGTGGAGGAATTCCCAAGTGACTCATCTTCGAGGCTTGGTGTTTTCCAGGCTCTTTTGAAGAGCCAAAACTGAGGAGGTGGGTATTCGAATCAGAAGACTAAGGGACAAATACGCCACCTTTCTACTCGCAGCGCCACCAGCCTCTGTACTTGGTTGCATTGGGGGGTCGTCAGTAGAGAAACATGACAGCTTCGCTGTCCACAGCCCGAAGGTGCTTCGCCGAATGGGCCCGGCCAGGGAAATGCGAGAGATAGGCCTCCAAATGCGGCTCTTTCTGTATGGAACACAAGGGAAGCTTGGCGCTGTGGGCTGATCCCATGATATCCCTGAACGCCAAACGCATCAGCTCCGGCCCATGCGGTGTTGGCATGGCTAGGCTTTTTGTATTTTCACCTAAAAAGAGCGACGCCCAAGGGTTGCCCAAGGGTTGTGCGTACGATCACATTCAGCTGAATTAGATGTACCAGCTGCTTACCCCAGCTTCTTCAGTTCGTGCCCCCTCTTTTTTGCTCCCATCCAGTGACCTTGGCGTCACTGGATGAAGGTCCTGGTTACCATGTCTTGTGTTCTTTACACTGTTTTACCCGATTCACTGTAGCCCGACGGGGTCCCTCAAAACCAACCAACCCCACTCCATGCCATATAAGGCCGATCAGGCCAGGGGTGGTGCCAGACTGGATTGATCGGCAGTCCTATGACAGACATGGAGTGTTTGGGGTACAGGAATTGCTTCAACCCCACACCCCTGAGCCCCTCGGGCAGAACAGGTCCGACCCCTCCCATCAGCCAAATAGGTCACGTCTGGGCTCATCGAACCAGACCTCCCACGGACCTTGGGTCCCCCCGGCCGGTGCAGCAGCTGGCGTCCGTGCCCTGGCGTGACGGAGCTGAGTTACACTCAGCTGCATGTGGCCATGTGGCATGCTGCCCAACTGGGGGGAATTCAGAATATTCAGAGATACACGTGGGCATAGTCCATCTTTAGAACAAGTCAAGCAGCTGCCGAGCTATGTCACTGCTGTTCAGAAAACTGCTTCAAAAGATATCAAGCAGCTGGTGTAAAGGCCACATGTAAAACAAAACAGATCCAAATTGGTGGGTCGAAGGCTCGGGTGAAAGGATCGAAGATGTGCGGATTGAATCCGAGCTTCGATTCCCAGTGCTTGGTGTGGCTCTAAAGAAAGGTGGAACAGTTTGTAGATGATCCGTTTGTTTTGCCGGAGGTTCTATCATGATTGCCGTGCAAGAACCAAAACAAAGTGGAACACCTGGATGTTCAGCTGTTCCGCCAGATCTTTCGGCGGACATCGGCTCCGAGCCTGGAGGTGTTTTTGCTTGAATACTGGCTGACAGAAAGGCGGATCTTCACCCGGAAAAAACCTCCTGACACCGTCGCACTTCGATGGATTCTGCACGCTTGGATTTGCTAATCGGCAGCTCAAACAGCTGTAAAAGTAACGCAGCAAAGCTTGCCTCCCCTCACCATTCCCATAACCACCCCAACCTTTGAGAAATGATCAAATTGATCTGGACGACCCAAGTCGCCAGTCTTTGGGTCAACCTATGTACCCTCCAAGCAATGGTTGCATGAAGGACACGCTGCTCCTACCCCAAAAAAGTCATGGTGTTCATGCCGAATCCAGGGATCTGGCGGGATCTTCACCAGCATATCTATATCACTAATTTCACTCCCACTATGTGACAGCCTTCCTGATCTATCGGGAAATTACTATACAACTAGACTACACGTGTTCCCTTTTGGAAGGAGTGCTCTTCCCACCGCCCCGACGGCTCTTCCCAAGACGCGTTCGCATCCCGCCTACTGGTCACGGAGAGCACAGTCTCCGGGCTTCGCCTCGGGGCCAGCGAGGGCGGCGGCGGAACATGTGTGGCCTACCAGAATGGCAAACTTGGGTCTTGAGCATGCAAAGTACAGACTTTGCGCTACGTAGTTGTGTTTTGGCTTTCCTATAATGATCACTGTGTGTGTGTGTCCCACCCTGGACAAAGGGTTTTTCACCACCACTCTTTCCTCTTTCCACTTTACACAGGCAGGGGGCAGTGACAGAGTTTGTGGAATCACTGCCAACGAAGACGTCCACATTCTCTGGTGATGCATCGGGAGACGTCCTGATGTGTACCTGCTTCAACTTTTGAACACGCTGTCCAATCTTTTGGTTTGATTCATGGTGG